TTGTGTGTGTGTGTGTGTGTGTGTGTTTTGAGACAGGGACTTCTTACACAGTTTGAGCTGGCCGTGAACTCATTTTGTAGCCTGGGCTGGTCTCGAACATGTAACAATTCTGCTTTAGCCTTCTAACAGATGGGATTACAGGTGTACACCAACACACATGGCTTTTCTTATTTACTCTTGGATTCTCATACTAGAATAACCAAGTGATATTTCCACATGTGTGTCTACTTCACTTTACAGTGTCATCTCAAGGTATAAACATTTAACAAGTAATTTCTCAAATCATCCTTTAAGGCACAATAGTCTAACATTATAATTTTTCTTTTTTTATTCTTTTTGTCTTTTTCGGTTTTTTATCGGTACCAGGGATTGAACTCACGACCGCGTGCTTGCAAGGCAGGCGCTTATGCCACTGAGCTAAATCCCCAGCCCTAGTCTTCCATTCTAAAAAAAGAAAATGAAAACACTTATATTTTCTTCATCCATTCAACAGTGTATGAACCTATGGACTGCTTTCAAGATTTATCTATTTCAAACTGTGCCTGTATAAACATGAGTGTGTATATATCAGTGTGGTGTGATGCTTTTAATTCTTTTGTGAAAAGACAAAGAAAGGGAATAAGTGGATGACTGGACCTTCAAGATTTTGTGTTTTGAGATGCCTGACAAAATATGTAAATGATAAGGGAACCATGAGGTTGTAGGGGAAGAAAGCAGGGACAAGTAAATGGCATAGGAAGACAAAAAAGAAACAGTTTTATAAACAAAGAGGGGAAGAGAGTCTGAGGGGAAGCAAAGAGGGTAGAAGAAAAAGAAGCAGCTAGATATACCATGTACAGATACAAACTCCAAAGATGAATGTTATCAGTATGTAGCAGTAAAAAACAAAACAAAGAGGTTTATGAATAATATTAAAATACCAATAGAAAACCAGTATACTTGGAGCAAGTCTATGGATAATCAAATAGGAGCCAAGTGGCTGATTAGCTTATAGCACAGAGAAGCCAAATGATCACCCTTCTATCACATAAAAGAAGCCCTACCACTGTCTGATGTAGTGAGGGGAAGCATATGTAGAATATATATGAAACACATTAAAAATGAAGATATCACAAAGTGAATAGGCAGTAAATACAAAAAGAAAACTTCAGCCAGGTATGATTATAACTGCCTACATTCCCAGCACTTGGGTGCCTGCTGTGCAAGGATTTCCATGAGTCTGATGACCGCCAGGAGTTCAAAGTCCTGCTGAAGTTTGGAGGTACGCTCAAGGCCAGTAAAGATTTCAAAGTGAGACCCTGAGAGGGACAAACCCCAGTAAAGGAAACCTGAAAGAAAATACTGTGCCACTTACAAGTCACTCCTTTGATCTGCTCAAAAAATGACAACAGTGCAGGGTAACAGAAGACTGACAGCTTTCACCACCTTGTGATCAAGGTGATAAGTGCACACTGCACTGCTCATAAAACACATTCATGTTATATCTTTGTTCCAGTTTGTGACCCATACAGGAATGACAAAGGGATACCGGAAAAGAAAGGCAGCTTTTACAATTCTACTTGTACATACAACAGTAACTCATGCTGCAGCTCATGTTAAAAACATTTTAAAGAAATCAGATATGTTTCATTTTTGTTAAGAGACAAATAGGTATGCAATTGAATATATAGATGAAATACATTCTATTTTATCTCCAAAGTTGTGTATTGAAAAGGGAAAGATAAACTTGAAACTTTAGTATTATATAATTAAATAACAAAAAAGAAACTTTCTCAGAGGATACAAGTAGCCAGCAGATTTCAAAGGAGAAAATGAAATCTATGAAAGCCATGGCAAATAAACAAGACTAAAATATTTGCTGTGTACACGAGTCAAAGATATTGCATACAGTGTAAAGACCAATGAACGGAAATATCTAAAATATATAAAACATATCTGACTTAAAAGAAACATTGAAACACTGTTCGCTTCCGGGGCTCAGCAGGGAGGCTGTGGATCTCCAGGGCTGTTTTGGACTGCATGCATCTGGAACACACCCCCACCTCCATCCCAGAAGTTCACCATTGCTTGGCTTGACAGTTTCTAAGGATCCTTCGAGTTCACCACACAGCCAGTAGAAATCACACAACAGGACCAGGGGTGGCCTCCACTGTTAGCTTGTAACCCAGGAAATTCTGGACAGGTGGCTTTCCTAGATGACAACCTCACCTGGCCTGAGGAATCCTTGCATTTAAGGGCTTCTTGCTTGACTTTTAAGAGCTGCACTCATTTTCCTAATGGACTCAGTGGACTCTTCCAGAAAATGGATTACAAATGTTCTCAGAATGTTCCAGGGTCAATGTCGTATGGAAGAATACCGACCCTGATGACTAAAAATATAGGCGGCCAGGCCAGGATAGCATGGAACACAGTGAGGTCCTGCTGTTAGAAACGAGGCAGTCAGTTTCATTGGCAAGACTTTCACACTGTCTCTCAATCTACTCATTTTCATCCATGAAAATGAATATATGGCCACTGAGAAGAATGCAATCATGGTGTAAATAAATACATAAGAGGGCCAGGGATTTAGCTCAGTGTCACAAGTGCCTGATTTGTAAGCCAAAGGTGGTGAGTGAAAGCGTTTTGGCCCAAGCTCTACACTGTAGCTGGAAAAGCCTCAGGTGCAACCAAGGAGCTCCTATCTCCCCCACCCCTAGGAATTTACATATGCCGCCAAACAAAGACCAATGGGCTACCTGTGCATCCCTAATGCCCCCTTAGATTCCACCCCAAACCGAGGCAACTTATGTGTCTCACTCCATGTGTTCCACGGAAAGATCGCTGACCCAAGGGTACAGATGCCACGCCCCAGGGGATTGGTGGCTCTCCCCGCATTCTCAAAATAAAGGTCATTTATGTTTCATACTTCTAATCTTTTCAGCCGCCGCCTATCCCCCACAGTTCTATCAGTGAGTTCAATCCCTAATACAAAAAAAAAAAAAGTCAAAAAAACAAAAAAAGAAAGAAAAATTAGAGTTGCTTGGTAGCAATGCTCTGCAAAATGTAAAAATGAAAGAAAAAAGAAAAGCAAGCATTCCAGCTCCCTCAGACAATATTCACAGTTATCCATGCTCACAAAAAATACTTCAGTTCTGGAGATAAACCTATTTCCCAGCATGAGGGCCAGAAAGATTGCAGAAATATCCCCACATTTGATCTACTTGAATACTTCCTGGTGATGAGACTGAGATACAAAACGACTTTTAACTGTAAGCTACCAGTGCCCTACTATGACTCATCAGAAGTTTAAATTCCCCATCTTTTAACGTCAATATTCCTTAAAGAAAAATACATATAGTCATGCATAATGCTTTGCAATAAGAGTCATGCATAATGCTCTGCAATAAGATACGAGGTGTCTGAAGCCATGTGTTGGTATTAAGCATGTGTTTAGGGCCAGATGTCTGTATGTAGGGAGTTATTTTTTTTTTTTTAGGTAGATAGTACAGGGACAAAGTCACTGTGATATGCAAACAATTCAAGCATTCAAACAAAAAATATGTGCACATGAAAGAAATTGGTTTACAATATTCACATAGAAACATTGACTTGTATGCTTTTCTGAAAAAAAAATTGATGTATTAGAAAGTTAGTTGATAACAAATATCTAATAGGAATTTTATTAAATTTTTGTCATTGTTACTCTTGTCATAAGGAAAACTTCCTGACTCGCAAATGACACCACGGATATAGCTCAACATTGCAGCACCAACCTGGCAATCATGAGTTTGATTTCTGTACCAAAAAACCCCAAAACAGTTCCAAAAAAAAGAGGAGGAGGAGGACCAGGAAGAGGAGGAGGAGGAGGAGGAGGAGGAGGAGGAGAAAAACAACAATAAGGACAAGCAAATGAAAATTTTTATTGTTTCATTATTTCTAAGACAACAATCTTCTATTCCTGAAATGTCACTTTAAATAGACTTAAAGCACAAAGATACTGGCTTTTCAGAGACCCAGGATCCAGAGAGAAGGGAAACACAGAGGAGAAGGGCCCAGAGTCTACATTTGGTCCCTTAGGTCACACTATCATGCCTCAGCCACCTCAAGAAGTGTGCTTTACTGATATATCATGTATCTGTCAAGCAAAATAAGCTAGTCACACAACTGTATCCTGACCCCATGTATTTTTGTTCGAGAAATACGACTGTTACAAGGTAGAGAATTTCAACCTCATGCCACACGACACAGAATGGGGAGCTTACAGTTAAAAGTCCTTTTTGTAAACCAGTCTCATCACCAGGAAGTGATCACATGGATCAAATGTGAGGCTGTTTCTCCAATCTTGTTGACCTTCATGCTGGGAATTAGGTTTATCTTCAGAAGTGAAGTATTTTTTACAAACATGGATAACTGTGAATGTTGTCTGAGGAAGGTGGAATGCTTGCTGCTCTTTCATTTTTACTCTTGCAGAGTCTTGCTATCATGCCACTCTAATTTCTTTATTTACGCAATGCTTGTACTCCTCTCCAGGGCCATATTTACATTTTCCTGGATGAAAATGAGTAGATTGAGAGACAGGGTGGAACTCTTGCCAACGAAATTGACTGCCTCATTCCTAACAGCAAGGCCTCCCTCTGTTCCATTTAATCCTGGCCTACCTTTATGATATTATTGGTCATCAGGGGTGGGATTCTCCCATAGGACATTGACCCTGGAAGCTTCTGTGAACATTTATGACCCATTTTCCAGGAGCGTCCACTGAGTCCATTACGAAAACCAGGGCGCTCTGAAAAGCCAAGAGCAAAGCCCTTAAAGGCAAGCATTGCTCACACAAGGTGACAGGGGAATCTAAGGAAAACGACTGGCCCTGAGTTTCCTGGGCTAGGAGCTATCAGTTAAGTCTACCCTGCTCTCAGAAGTTTGTTTCTCCCCTCACTCTCAGCCCCGCTGATTGGCAATTAAGCAATCGGCGATGGAGGCGGGCTCTGCGAAGTACCCAATCAGGTGGGCCTAGGGGGCGGGCACTTCATGTGTCATGGCGCTGCAGTGAGTTCTGTGAGTTCGTTGCTGAGAGACCACAGTGGTGTGGACCGTCTTTTCTATTAGTTAATTTTTGTCGTTGTGAACTGCCATCTCTTGTCCTGGCTGCAGCGTGCACACGAAGGATCCCTGGAGACCCTCAAGCCACGCAATGGTGATGCTGTGGGACGGGCGCTGGGGGTGGGATGGGATAGGGTGCTTTCCGGATGGAAGTGTCAGAAAGAGCTGTGACAGCCTGCAGCCTCCCTGCTGAACTCCGTACGACACGGGGTCTTCCTCGTCTTTGGGGCCGCGTGTTCTTGTGTGCCGTTGTTGTCTGTTCAGGCAGGGAGAGTTCTGAGTCTCCAGCATAAGGAAGTGTACAGTGACTGTGCAGTTTCTTTATTTATCAGTATTTTAAAACAGGGGCTCGCTGTGTAGTTCAGGCTGGTTCTGAACTCGTTACATTACCAAACTAGGCTTGAACTCGCAGTACTCTTCCTGCCTCAGCCTTCCAACTGCTGTGATGACAGGCGTGCGCTGCCACAAGCGACCCTGCCTTCTTGGTCTGTCTTGGACACCGCTGTGTCTCCACCACACTGCAGAGTGCCGCAGTTTTGGGAAGACAAGGATTTTCATACTCAGCAATGAAATGTTTTTACGTGAGACCTCTATTTGCATTTGTGATTGTTGCATAAACAGAGCTCGTGGTCTAACAACGTTCTGGAATGATGTGAACAAAAAGAAAAAGATGTTAGGAGAGATCTTATTGGAAATAAGTAGGAAGCTCCTTGATTTTCGAAATTTTCTTGAGTGGCCCTATCTCTAGATAGCCATGCTATCTAGAGATTCCTATAGATAAGTATAGCATTATAAATACATTTTCAGTTGTTTAGTGGGCACCTGTCACACATGCCTCCCTGGATTTAAAGCAACAGGTCTAAACTCGGGCGATGTAACTCAGCATGCACTGTGAAAAGAAACAGGTTTTAGGGAAACACTGGTTATTTTGCATTTTTCGTTCCTGGAAACTCAGGAGCTTAGTAAGGCATACCTGCACCTCCTTTTAGTAGAGAGGATCTGCATTCCTTGTTGGGCAGCTAGTTCACTGTTGGTGCAACATTCTATTCTCATTTTAACTCGTTGCAAAATAGCTAATTTCCCAGTTGTATCTCAGGGCCTTCTCTTGCGGGATGCCTTATTTATATGTTAATAAAACAATTTCTTCACATGTATACTATTTAAATGAGACTTTTCATAGAGTTTAGCATGAAGACAAAGATGTTACTCTCCTTCCAAGAGAATGGCAAATGTTTCTGCTAAGAACTTCTGAAAGGGGCTGCCCCTTGAACTCACACTGAGAAATGCTTTGAACTGAGGCATCTACAGGAATGTGCAATAGTGACCTTGGTATGATGGGAAAGGGAAAGGGGAATCATCTCTGAAACACCTGCTTCATAGTCTGAGGGCTGTTTGTAGACACTTTTAAAATTTGAAACACCAAATCAGGTATTTATATAAAAGAAGTACTTGGTCAGGTGTAGCCCATGCATTGTAATTCCATCACTTGGGAAGCTGAGATATGAGGATGTCTGAGTTCCAGGCCAGCCTGGGCTACAGAGTGACTTCAAGGCCAGCCTGAGCTGAGTAATGAAACCTTGTTTTAAACACACACACGCACACACACACACACACACACAATTACTGAAGTAGGGGTAAATTCATGTAGTTTAATCTGTTGGCATTTTAATTACTAGAATGAAAGTTTTTTGAATAGGCAATAGCAAATAAATGTGAAACAGAATTGGGAGAGTGGGAATTTGCAAAGGTGGCAAAATGAGCAGCTTTACAACTGTGTATTTCTCAGAAGTGACATTATTCTCAGAGTGATAATAAATGAAGGGTTTTTCTGTTCTAAGATTAGGTCAAAGGTCAGAGGCTTAAAAAAACAGTTTAGAAACAGGTAAATATTTGTTCTGTGGCTACTGTTCAACTCTCCTAATCATTTTTAAGGCAAAATTAGAAATTAGCGAATTAGTCTTGTTATACTGTTTAAAATAGCGTAAACAGGGCTGGGGATTTAGCTCAGTGGTATAAGCATCTACCTGGCAAATGCAAGGTCAGGAGTTCTATCCCCAATAGCAAAAAAAAAAAAGGGCAGCAGTAGACATCATCACTGATGTAGAATGAGAAGGGTATTCTTTTGGATGTAAAAGCTTGCAATGTGTGTTTGAGCTTTTTCATTGTACAAAGTGAGCTCAATAGTTTTACCTGAGCTGTATCCCCCCCAAGTTGTTCCTTCTCCTTTTCCTTTTTTAGTTTTTGTTTATGGTTTTTTTTTTGGGGGGGGGTCCAGATCTTATTAAGTTGCCAAGGTTTGCAAGACATTTTAATAGTTTACACCTCCTTTCCTGTTGGGAGCACAGACATGTGTCACCTTGCTAGTTTGAGGCTGATGTTTTTTTTTTTTTTTTTTTTTTTTTTTTTTTTTTTTTTTAAATTTAAGAGGAAAAAGAGAAAAACACAAAACAAAACAAAGCGGTGTAAGGTTACACATAATACAGAACTACAAAAAAAAAAAACATAACAGTAAGAAATCACCTGTTAATAGATTACATATTATCATCTTGGAAATAGTTGCTCAAATCACAGTATCAAAGAATACAAAGTAGACATTCAAACAGAGAGACTGCAAACAGCTGTGTTCAATGATGCAAAAACATTAATATAGTCAGCTATTTAACACCCCTAAACACACTTGCTGTTATATCCGTTAGAGCTCTTTTTTTTTTTCCTCCCTCTCTTTTTTACAACAAAATTTACACATTTTGGATTTTATTACTCTTTAGTTCTTATTACTTTTTTTGGGGGGGGGAGAGAATAAAGTCAAATATGGCAAACCAAAGCTGTCAGTCAAAACCAAGGATAGACATAGCACATGATGTAGAACAGAGTACAAGATTATCAACAATGGTTATCAACGTTGTCTCTTGTTTCCTTAAAAAGAATTGTCTATCTCATTAGATATTATAAAGTTGGACAAAACAGTAGAGAACAAGACCAATAAAACTGAGGCATTGTAAACATTACAGGATTTCCAAAGGAGACAATAGTCAAACGAGAATGGGCATCTTAGTGAATATTATTGCCTTCAAAGTAGTTGCCTATACCCTCAAACTTGATACTATCGCACAGAATGGAACAGAGTCTAATCAGTCAAAACAAGATCGTGGGAGTATTACAGGACTTCAAAACAAGTTAATAGGAAATCAAAAAGAGTTACTATTATATATCCTAATTTTTTTAATTTTTCCCCTTAATTAAAATAAACATAAGAAATAACTAAATAATTTTTTTTAAGAATAAGGGAGAGATTGAGTTAAAACAGGACATAACAATATAACAATAGAGGTCAAAGCATGACTGTTTCAGAGGCTGATGTTCTTAAATCACCATGATTTAGCCTAGATTTCAGTAAACATCAGTAGGCCTGGTAGTGCACACCTTTAATTCCAGCTGCCTGGGAAACTTAGACAAGAGTATGAACTCACCAAGCTGAATAAGTGACCAAGACCATTTTTCAAAATGGAATGTTTTGGGGGTGTGCCTCAACTCTAAACTGGTATAATGTGTGAGAAACCCAAGTGAAGTCTCCAGTGATGCAGGGCAAATGAAAAATATTTAGTGCCAATCTTACTTTTTTTTGCTGTATACTCACTGTTCAAACTAGTGGTACATACTATAATACTCCCTCTTGGTGGTGGATAGCAGTAATGAGTCTTGCTTAATCAGAAACAGAAGTGTACTCTGTGAAATAACACGCATGAGATATATAGTGTTTTATTATCAATATTGCTTTCTGTTACATAACATTCCCCAAATGATCATCAAGACAGGTTTTAAAAGATCCAAGGTTTAACACTGATGTTTGCTTATATTCTGTACCTTTTCAGTACATTTTATTTTCAGTTGCCTTTAGGTTGATGAAAATATTTCCCCTTTCTAAGTCAAATAGCATCTGTAAAAGCATCCTTGTAACTCTTTGTATAGTGTACAGTTGAGCATGACACTCATCAGGCTGTTTCTTGTTTTGAACGTTCATTAATCATTTATCCTGAGCCACCAAATTAGGAAAACAGAATAATTGGAAAGGGGGAAATATGCTTTGCTTTATGTTTTTTCTTTGCTTTGATTTGATTTGCTTTCTTCCTTTCTTTTTTTTTTTTTTTTTTTTTTTTCCTTTCTCATTTTATAAAGAGCTGCCTCACTTGGGGTCACATTCTTTGGATTACATCAGTAGGACAATGGGATAGGATGGAAATTTTCAATGAAAGTTATAGGGCTGAGTAGTTAAAGCACGACACAAAGCACATGCAAGGTTGAAGGGAAAACATTTCCATTTCCACTTTTAATTTATGCTGATTATAAGCACTCTTTTTTACTGTTTTAAACTTCATTATCATCTGCCTTCCAATACTGGAATTATTCCTCCTGCAAGCAGTTTACTTCCAAGCCTGTATCTGTGGTCTGTTGTCCTACTCTTAGAAAGAATGCAGTTCTCATGTGCAGGACATATTGTGGGCTAGATATTCATAATGACCTCATGAGCTCTACTTGTATTTGAATTGGTACTCTTGGTGAATCACCCAATAGAGAAATATAATAAAAATTCTCATTTCGCACAGCTAAAATGAGACAAAAGACACACCTGAGACACACCTCAGGTACAGAACTGGGTTCCTGTAACGTGCTGTCCATTCTACAGGGACACTGTGACTCCTTTACTTATCATATGTCCTCATTGGCAGTCTGTGCCCATTGCTTATTGCTGGTCAGAAAGAATGAATTCTGGTGCATTCACCAAGAGCACTGTGTTCAAAGAGCCAAAGAGTCTTCATGGGCTGGCTTAGGAAGGTTGAAGAATAAAGGATGCAGTGAGAAGCCTCCAGAGCTCAGAAGACAAAAAATTCCAATTTGAAAACCAAATTATTCAGTTGGAATTTGTTTAATATTACAATATCAACTCTTTTAGAGGTAATATATTCTTTTGGATAATGTGCTCTTTTGAACATCTTGATAATCTTGCAGGTAATCCATATGGACTCATTTAGTACTATAGCTACAAGTGTCATTGGTACTGATATAGTTCCCGTCAGTTGACATACATATTGTGAA